GACGTCTACAAAACGAGATAAAATTCAAGTTAAGTTGATTGAGTCCTTAATAAAACACCTAAATGTGTTATTAAGGCTAGGATCCAACACAATATTCTACAACATAGAAGAAGGATGTCGTAATCTAGTTGTAGAATATTTGAAGGTAGGTAAATGACGATTTACCAATTTCCACCATGAAAAATGAAATGAACTTTAAGTTTTAAATGAATTGAAACTCCTAGATCTTTTGAGGTTCATTGAACTTTTCAATGGCACGTTGCCCTTCCAGTTTGCGACTGGGATGCCGAGTATCACAAACAAGGTGTGAATAACCATACGAATCTACGTGGTGCACTCAATGCTACTATCACCTAATCAATGTGTCGGTTAGCCACACACGCTCCATTGATCAATGACAAACATCGAGCCGCCCTTCGCCACCGATGCCAAACCCAAATTAGTGTGTCGGTTAACCACACACGCTCCACTAACGTCTCGTCAAGGGTACAAAGTGTCATTCCATGGATTAGCATACAATTTCACATTTTGCCTAAAGTAACTATGATTTGGGAATTTGAAAAAACATGTAGTTACTTGGTACTTCATTATACTTATAATGGAAGGTTTCGTCCTATCCTACCCGTTCGGCTAACGACCCTCCACTAGTCAAGAGTGAGGTGGGTAAGAGTGGATACCCATTCAATCGCCATTTTATAGGCAATTTTCTTAAACACCACTTATAGACCAACTTCGTAAATGAGGCCTACTAACGGTAAGACTGACTGTTTACTCATACATATATATAATATTAGACTTTTAATGTTATATATAGTATATGGTGTATTTTACACTTTTAAAATACTAGGTGGTCTAATTTAGCAAATTATACTTTTAATTTATTTAAATGTAAACCAAAACTTTATGGGCTTATTAAATCTCTTTTAATTATACACTTTAATTAATTAATAAAACCATAAGGGTGTAAATCGAACTTTTCAAATTACTTGGGTTTTAGAATTTAAAATTTCAAATTAAGACTTTTAATTAATTTTAAAATCCAAAACTTGAGGGTAAGTTTTGAAACTTTTCAAAACATTAAGGTTTAACTTATTTAAATTTCAAAACAAAACTTTTAAGTTCAAATTTGAACTATAAAACCTAAAGAGAGTAATTTGAAAAATTTTCAAACTTTATCAAAAACATTCTAGATTAAAAATTCAAATAAGGCAATTAACAACTAATTGGTGGTTATCTAATTTTGACCTAGTCCAATTTCTAGGAAGATAATTCACTAGATAATTCAAATAATTAAATCTAATCATATAAGGAAGTAATTATTCAATTAATATGAAGGTATCTTTTATTTTAGCAAGGATAATCACCCAATATCATAAAAAACCGATTTTTATCAATCAAAAAAGTTTTGGTAATTATCCCACAATAAAAAGGCAAGAAAATCACGAAATATAGCTGTCAGACCCACTGACTCGTCGAGTCAGCACTGGACTCATCGAGTACCCAGTGGACTCGGCGAGTTCGGTCATGGACTCGGCGAGTCCAACCCCAAAAAGTCAAAAAATTTCGATTTTTCAGTCAAATAAGCATCAAATTCACTAACAAACAACCCTAGGCTCTGATACCACTGATGGGTTTCGAGCAATACATCATTCCTATGGTGTACATGCAAACCCTAATAACTTTTTGATCTAGTTTGTCTAATGGATATGCAATTGAATATCCAAAGCTATAAACCCTAGATCTAGCATACAATTGATCATATTAACATAAAATAGGGTTTAGATCTAACCTTTAATTTTTATATAGCAATATCAATCTAATCCTTGGCTTCAGAAAACTTAGTGCCTCAAGTGTTGCACCTTTAATTGATTCACAAACACCACTAAGCAACTTGGATGAAGAGAGAAAAGAGGGGAGGCACCAAAACCGGCTGGAACCCCTAAAGGAAGTGTTAGCCACATTTTTAGTGCCTAAGGGCTCCTTATATACTTAGGCAATTAGGGTTATCAAGCTAGGAAACCCTAATTTGACTGCTTAAGCCCTAAGCTGCCCATGGACTACTTCTTTAGAAGCCTTGGACGATTTCTAATGGGTTTCCCCATAGAATTCGTCCACTCCACCATCTATGGAGTCCATAAGCCCATCTATGTAATTATCTTATAATTACACAATAGGTCCCTTAACTTTAATTAATCTCCTTTAGCCACAAAATTAATTCTTGACTAATATTAATTAAACAATATGATTTCTCCTTTTATATATTATTCTTATAATATATTAATAAATCATAATTAAACCTTTCTCTCCTTAATTCATCCTACATATTGCTATGGTGAAGGCAACCCAAAAGGACCATGCTCATAATCGGGTCAAGTACATACCAAAATAGTTATGGACTTAGACACTAATCCAACACTCGCTACTCGGTAGTCAGCCAAATAGGTACCGAGTAACGAGTTCTGCAACCTTGCATAAGATCATAGTGTACTGTCTCTTACACCATTACCCACCATGTCACCTAATTATAAGCCTCGAGAAAAATCATACCCAAGGAGATGCTGACAAAGGTTCATATCAATCAAGCCCACTACCACTAGAAACTAGACAAGAAACAAATAAGGACATAATCATAATGTAATTACATAATATCCATTTGTCTGGTATCGAGGTTGTGTTAGGACTACATGTAGATCATATCATAGATGACCATGGTATATATATAGCAATAAGGGTACTAACCAGGATGATGGTACCTTACTTGGGTTATTTATGTAATAATATGTATCCTACATTAGTTTAGGGTGATAAGGTTACCCCGGTAGACTTATTTTATCATAGATGATTGTAGTATGTCATCGAATGATTTTTGGACACATGTGTTTGAGGTACATATGATTTACATATGTGTCATTACCTTTGTTGTACTGTTGACTATTTAATAATATTTAATCCTACCCTTTTGAAGCATGCAACTGTTAATCTAGTAAAGCATCTTGTCACACAAAATGAGAGCCTATTAAGGGATGATGGACAGGATCGAATGCCTGCCATATATATATATATATATATATATATATATATATATATATATATATATATATATATATATATATATATATATATATATATATATATATATATATATATATATAAAGTCTACTTACGCATGCGTCCGAACAACCACCAAAGATCATTAAGATTATTTAGAGAAGATTACGAAAAGCTACAATAGGCACTTTGGTGTACATAACAAGCGACACATGTTTCAATATGGTTGAAGTCTCCATGGATAGAGATGAAACGGAAATATATATTGCACGCGTATGCCCAACATCGTTAGAAAATTATATAAACGATAACATTAACAATCTATATACATCACTATATTTTGTAACCGATTTCTCATTTATAAATCGACAGTAGAGTTGCCAATGCGTATATATGAGGACTTTGACTACAGTTGGTTGGATGTGATGTAAGTTTTATATGTATGTTATCATGACATACTAAACATTTAGTAATGTTACATACACTATTGTATACATGTCATGATGGATCCCTTTAACTATCTTGGTTAAAGTATGATAAGTATACATGTGTTTCGATTATATTACCTGAGTAACATTCACTTATCAGAAAATTTTATATGATGATTAGTTATTTCCAACCTTTTATGCAACTATACATCTCCTTTAATAAGCCAAATGGGCACTACTGATGCAATCCCATTTGCAATTTTCAAACTTACCTTTGTGAAGGGCACAAACACATTACAGTTGTCTGGAGATAAAGGAAATTGTGAAGTTTTCTTATGTTGATTCCAAAAAAAGGTTAATCGCTGGTTAACTAGTGAGCATATAGAGCTGCACCAAGAGTTGAGCGAAGAAATATCGATGGCGATTTAGAAATATTCCATGGGGTATGCAGACAAAAATAAAGGCCAAGTCATATTGAATGCGATTTAAATATATTCCATGGGGTACACGGGCAAAAGTAAGGATCTATATGCACATTAAGTTATTGTTAGACATATATAAGTTTGTGCGATTATTAGTTTTTGTAGTAGATTTTTTGTTTCATGGAATTTCATAATCATTTAGAAAATATGAGTTATTTTCACTAATAATCATATAAAGTTAGAAAAGACCAGCAAACTATAATTAAACACATAAATACATAAAATACATACATAAATGATGATATTACAGATTAACCATCATTTGAAATTAATATAAAATAAAAACATAAAAAAGACACTCCATAACGTCATTCCGACATGACTAGTCTGGAATTTCATAATTTACTTTTGAAAGATGAGTTCCGGAATATATTATCATTTTACCAAAAAAAAGAAAGATATTTTTAATAAAAAAGAATATTTATATTGGTTAGATTAGTCAATCTCATTATTATTATTATTATTATTATTATTATTATTATTATTATAATTTTGTTTTTTGTTATTTTAACATTCAACATTACTTTTTAAATATAATTTCTAAGTGTTTTTATTATTATTATTTTGAAACGACAAACTATCTAACCTTTTTGTAAATATCATATATGTCTTCTAAAAGATCTGAATCAATAACTTCTTATTTAAGAGAGTCACACTTTACCATTAGACCAGATAGTATTTGGAAACTCGTGTATATGTTCTTAATAATAAACTTATATTCACGAAATAATTATAACAATAATAACAGATGAATACTTTTATATAAAAATATAACAAAAAAAATCCTTATTATGAAATTAACTTCTTGAACATTGTGGCTAATTTTTCCAACTAATCTATTTTTTTTTCTTTTTTTAAATGAAAAAATATGCATCATTATCAATATCAAAAACACGTGTGGATGCCATGTCATTTGATGATTTACTTTTTTAAAATTTCGGGTAATCTTCGCTTTTGTTCCTTCTCTTATAAATAGTTCAGTCGTTTCGACCTCTCTTAGGCGAACTCGTAGCTAAGTGTTATTCATCTTCGTCATAACTAAATGATGGGAAGAAGTTCAGTTGGGTTTTTTGCATTCCTTCTACTCGTCTTCTTTTTTGCTATATCAGGTGCTGAATCAAACATATTTTTCTCTCTTAGCTTTCCGATTAATCGCCTTTTTAACGCATGACATTTATTAAGAATAGAGTTGTGCTATGATAAAGAAATAACAGAAAGAGAACCTCCTTATATCTTTAATGTTTTTCTTAAAATTTACTATATTCCGTATTTTGTGATGGAAAATCTGCCACTCAAAAGCCTCGGTATCTATATATTCCCTCGCAAACCATTTAGTAATAAGTTTATAATAAATACAAGAGATTTTAATCAAGAACGACTGATTTCTTGCTTTCGGTTTTTCTCTTAGCCTCGTGATAAGAATTATTTAGGGAAAAAAAACGTCACACATAGCGGTTTTGTCTTCGTTGTATGGTGCATTATTATTATACTTAAAATAGGAAAAAAAACCTATAGCGGTTTTGTCTTCCTTGTAAATAATGGAGTATTACTCAGTTCTCCTTCCAAAAATGTAAAGGTTTTGCAAGGTAACAGTACTCGGCATAAGATAAACGACAGAAGAGTAACGAAACAACTTTAAAGATAAGCGAAAACTTATTATATACCGGATTAATAGTAGATGAGTATTATACGTATTTTTCATTTCTTCTACTTAATATCTCATCTAACAAAACTTCTGTTAACTAAAATCCATTTGAAATGGTGTGAATAGAAATCACGACTGTGAAGGCGAAAGTATGTGAAAAGCCAAGCAAGACCTGGTTTGGGAAGTGCAAAGACACAGTCAAGTGCGACAAGCAATGCATAGAGTGGGAGGGTGCAGAACATGGAGCTTGTCATCAACGTGAAGCGAAATACATGTGCTTTTGCTACTCCAAATGTGGTGCCAAGGCGTCTCCTACTCCTCCCTCTACTGCTCCCCCTGGGAATGGGGCACCCGCACCGAATCCTCCGGGACCTCCTGGAGGCGGCCAACCACCTCCGGCGGAAGGCGGACAACCACCTCCGGCGGAAGGGGGGCAACCACCACCAGCGGAAGGTGGACAACCACCTCCGGCAGAAGGCGGACAGCCACCTCCAGCGGAAGGCGGACAGCCTCCTCCGGGCATTTGATTGGACCGATCATCTTTCTTGAACAGCAAGCATTAGATGACTATAAATAAAGAGAAATTGCTTCCGATGGACATATGAGCATTTTCTAAATTACAAGGTCTCTTGTATCGATAATACATAGCGCATGATTCCCATGCATAACTGTTTTAATGATTCAATAAATTTTCTATCGTAATAATTAATAACCTGCCAAGGATTAAATAGACAACTTGAAAATTATTTGATTAATCGTTTCGATATTGGTTTTCCTCTTGATTTAAAATGTCAAAATAACAATCTTAAATAACATAAACAGAAAAATCAAAATATATAAAAATGACTTAAAAAGTTAATATAGATTGCATTTTGTTAAAAAAAATATCATTAACAACTTCAATTGTAATAGAGTCAGAACCATCACTTTCCTTGTGTTATTATGGTCATCATCATCACTTTCTTCCTCCTCATCTTTAGAGTCTTTAACAACTTCAGTTGTATTAGAGTCATAACAAGCTTGTTCCTCACAAGATAAGAATACCCCTCATAAACATTCTCCCTTTCTTGGGCATCATCAATGGACCCAGTACAAGGGGTTATTAAGGAATGAGATATCACGTATCTTTCATATCTGTACTGTGATTAATATTGTAAATAATTGGTCATATACAGTTGTATTTTACCTGTATTCTTTCCTAGTTTAGTACCTACAGCTGTGATTATATTCTGGATATAAAAGGATCTCATTTGTAATGTTACGTATGTAATCGGAATACGAAAATTCATATTTCCATACCTTTATATGGTATTAGAGCACTCCTAACTCTCACGAGTCCTTCGATCCAACCACTCTTCTTCATCCCAATTAGGGTTCTTCAATGGCCAACAAACAGACTCAAATCACTGCTGCCACTCAGTTAACCACGAAACTTACCCCCAACAATTACCCAGTGTGGCACAAACAAATCGAATCAACGCTCATCAGTCTTGAGCTTGAAGACCATATCATTGGTGAATCCAACAAACCCTCAGAAACAATCAACGACAAAGAGGGCAAACCCATTCCCAATCCAGAATATCGTCCTTGGTATCGTCAAGATCAAATGATCTTCAATGCAATCCTAGGAAGCTGCTCCGATTCCATCCAACCCCTCATCTCCTCTGCATCTACAGCACACCAAGCATGGGAACGACTTCATTCAAGTTTTGCCTCCACCTCAAGGTCTCGCATCATCTCTCTGAAATCAAAACTCGCTACAAACCCTAAAGGTACTCGATCTGTCATTGAATTTCTACATGAAATGCGATCTATTGCTGATGCCCTAACCCTTGCTCAAAGTCCAATCTCAGAGGAAGATCTTACGATTCACATTCTCTCCCAACTGGGAGATGATTACAATACTATTACCGCAGCTCTCAAGGTGCGAGAAAATCCCATCTCTTACCCTAAACTATTTGACGAACTCACATACTATGAACGAACCATTAAAGAAACATCACCCACTCTTGAATCCATCCCCACAACTGTGAACTTCATAGCTCGCCAACAGGGGTCCATCAATCGCAACCCAAACTCCTTCACCAGAAATAATAACAGACCCTATCAATCGGGGACCCACAGAGGTGCTTACCAAAACCAATCCCAATGGTCAAACACTAACCACAACCGCACCAACAGAACTAATGAATTCTTGCCAATACTGCAACATAACGGGTCATCTAGCACGTGAATGTCGCAAGCTAGCTTGCTTCATAAAAGAATACAATGTCCATCAGGAAAAAAACTCCACACCAGTAGCAAACCTGACCGCCTCCTCTCCAGCATCACCATCCTGGTTATTTGACACAGGGGCCTCTAATCATGTCACATCCGATCACCACAATCTTCACAATGTATCTGAATACGGTGGCCCAAATAAAATTGTTCTTGGGGATGGTACAAGACCACCCATCTCTAACATTGGTAACACATATATCAACACTGCTCACAAACAATTGTTACTATCTAATGTTTTACATGTCCTATGATTACATCGAAATCTTGTTTTCAGTTGGCCACTTATGTGATACTAACCATGTTTCGGTGGAATTCTTTCCATCTCACCTTTTTGTGAAGGATCTATGCACGGGGGCACGTCTAATGCGAGGAGAGAGAACTGAAGGGGTATACCACACTCGTTCGTTGCCTAGACTTCAATTTCATGCCACCTTCAAGCACACTCCTCTTAGTCTCCACCACAAACTTGGTCATCCATCTGCTAAAGTTTTCAAGTCTAATGTTTCAAAGTTAGGCTTAGGCTCAAAAATTGCACCAAATGTTTATTGACTATCTTGTTCTGTTAATAAAAGCCATAAATTACACTTTGGTCCAAAGTTCTTTAGTGCCACTCATCCGTTTCAACTTATTTACTCTGATGTTTGGGGACCAGTTCAAAAATCAATTAATGTTTTCACTTATTATGTTATTTTTGTCGACTATTTCACGAAATATGTTTGGATATACCCAAAGTTCTAAATAACGTAAGGCGTGACTTGGCGACAAGGTAAAAAGTTAAGCTATGACAAGCCTTGGCGAGCCATGGCGTTTTTCAAGACGTGACTATATTATATGCATTAAAAGATATAAATCATATAATTATTGAATTTTATCAAATATATGAAGTTTTTAGAAGTGTAATATTAATATCTAATAGAAAAAATTTAACGAAAACTCATTTATTTAGGCATGATAAAAAACACGAAAAAAACAAAAAAACCCATGCCTTGAAAATAACTCGTGCCATAACGCGATAAGACGCGCCTTGACTCGTTATTTGGGTGCCACGCTTCACAACCTCGCCTTGGACGTTTTCGTAACGACTATAGCATGTCTCGCACCGTGGCACGCCTTGAGGCGCGCCATGGCGCGCTTTTTAGAACCATGGATATACCCCATAAAACGCAAAAGTGATGCAGTCCAGTTATTCCCTCAATTCAAACTTCTTGTCGAAAAATACTTCCAACAACCTATAGTTTCTCTGTTTAGTGACAATGGCGGTGAATATCTAGGTCTTCTCCATATTCTTCAAGCTCATGACATATCACACTACACCACCCCACCACATACCCTAAAACAAAATGGTAAAGCTGAACGCAGACACAAACATATTGTTGAGATTGGCCCAGGTCTCATTCATTATGCCAATATACCTCTCACCTACTGGTCTCATGCATTTCAAATTGCAGTTTACCTTATCAATCGCCTTCTTACTCCCATACTTAATGACAAATCCCCCTATTAATGCCTATTTCGTCAGCCACCAAACAATACCAAGTTAAAACCCTTTGGATGTCTCTGATATCCATGGTTAAAGCCCTACACCTCATCCAAACTCCAACCCATGTCCACATCATGCCTCTTTCTTGGTTACTCATCTTCAAAGTCGGCATTCAAATGCTATGACCTCGAAACAAAGCGCCTGTATCACTCTCATCATGTGGAGTTTATTCCAGACCAATTTCCCTCTCATCAACTACAATCCGAAAATCCCTACCCACACCAGATATATTCCCTACCCTATCACCACTAACTCCAGTTTTCACAAACACTTAACCTCCATCAACCACTTTCAACACATCAACTATGCCACCTCCACCAATTATCCTGCAACCACAACCCGCCGAACCACTGTCCACATCGTCCCATGACACCCAACACTCATCACCCTCCAAACAATCTCCACAATCTACCACCTCTTCAACTACTCCATCTCCTTCCACCCCCCCTACACACACACACACAATCTCCACAATCACCGCAAGTTACACCCTTATAATCACCATCGGCTTCACTCCCTCCAACCCGCCATGCAAACAAAACCCCAAATACTACAACTCCTCATTTGTAAACACAACCACACTACACCCATTACCTCCCACCATTGAACCAACAACTCACCATCAGGCTCTCAAAGACCCTCATTGGTGTTAAGCAATGGACCAAGAATTCAATTCCTTACTCACTAATGGCACTTGGGAACTCGTTCCTAAGGCTACTCACTCACCCATTGGATGCAAATGGATCTTTCACATCAAACAAAACCCTGATGGTACCATTTCCAAATATAAAGCTCGCCTGGTCGCAAAAGGCTTTCACCAACAATATGGAAAAGATTACTTCGATACCTTCAGCCCTGTCACCAAGCAAGTCACCATTCGTACGGTATTAAGCATTGCTCTCTCTCAAAATTGGCCACTCCGTCAACTAGATGTCAACAATGCATTTCTCCATGGCACTATTCATGAAGAAGTCTTTATGTCCCAACCCCCAGGCTTTATTCATCCGAAATTCCCCAATCACATCTGCAAACTCAAAAAATCATTGTATGGCCTCAAACAGGCGCCAAGAGCATGGTACAATGAACTTACCACCTTTCTACTCTCTGTTGGCTATCGCAAATCTCACGCAGACCCGTCCCTTTTTACCTAGAATCACATTAAGATCCTCAACTACCTTCTTGTGTATGTTGATGACTTTGTTCTTACGGGCCATGACTCCTCCATTCTAGATACCTTTATTACCAACCTAGCCAACCAGTTCTCTCTCAAAGACCTTGGTCCCCTTCACCATTTTCTTGGAGTCGAAGTCATACCTACTAACACTGGTCTTTTCTTGTCTCAACATCACCATATCGAAGACCTCTTAGCTCTATTTCACATGGATGGAGCAAAAGAAGTAGCTATCCCTCTCAACCCTTCAGTCTCTCTCAAGCTGCAAGATGACTATGCTGGTGTTAATCCCACACCATATCGAAGGTTACTTGGTTCTCTGCAATACTTAGCATTTACACGATTGGAAATTTCCTTTGCGATCAACAAATTGTCTCAATTCATGCATTCACCTTCTGAGATTCATTGGAAAACCCTAAAACATGTTCTAAGGTACTTAAAAGGTACGATACACCATGGTTTGTTTCTCAAACGCAGGTCATCTATGGATCTCACTACATTCTCTAACTCTGAATGGGGAGGTATTGAATGTGGAG